ACGGATCAAAAGTACTGAACGGACGAACGGTGTAACAAGGACCGAATGGTTAAGGGGAAAAAAACTGCTAGTCTATTGGGATCTGCGGGGGGTCGAATTCCATTCCCCCCTTTGAATTTCTTTGGGATACTTTTTTCCCAAAAATTTTTTTTCTAAGGCAACGAATCTATAAATATTGAAAAATTGGGAGACGGGGGGAGGTTTAAGGCGATGGACTGCTAATCCGTTGGGCCCCTACCCGTGGGGAAACCCATCCTTCCTGATATTCTAACTGCGTTTTGTTTATGACAAAAATCATTAACCTTTTTAAAAGGGGAAAAGATAAAAATACTGAACTGAAGAACGGTGTAGACGGGTGGCGGTTGTGTGAATAATGATAAAGACTTTAATCCATTATTTCCTGCGTGGGGTCGAACCCAATTCCGTTGAATATTCTAAATGCAGTTTTTAAAAAAATTCTTTTTTTTTTTAAGGCGGCATCTAAAAATTGGAAGAAAAGCGGAAAAGGGCCGAGTGGTTAAGGCGTGAACTCTAAACCCCTTCTCGCCCGCGTGGGTTCGAACCCATCTTTGTCATTACTCGAATAGGTTAAAATTCTTTTTAAGCAATATTTTCCTTTTTTTATTCAACGTATGAATAGAAATTAAACAATGGCCTGCAAGACGAGGGGGGGGTTTGGCGAGGACTTAATCCCTTTTGATCTTTTGCGTGGGTTTGAATCCCATCCTTTTAGTTATTCGAAGATTTAAATTTTTTTTTACCTTAATTTTCCTTTTTTCATTTAACGTAAAAAAATTTAAAAAAAGGAGGTGCGCGAAATGGTCGGTGGTTTTCCGTGGACGTAACCATCGGGTCGCCCCCGTGGGTTCGCATTCCATTTTTGTCAGTTATTCTAAATCTTTAATTTTTTTTTTACTTAATCATTTTCCCTAAAAACCCGTATGAATAGAAAAAAAAGGAAGCTGCGCGCGAAATGGCCGGGGGTTAGGGTGGGCTGCTAATCCATTGGGCCCCCACGGGGGTCAATTCCATCCTTTTCGGGGGTTATTCTGAAGGCTTTAAATTTTTTTTTACTTCTCTTTTTTTTCAACAGAAAAGAAAAAAAGTAAAGAGCCGCGTAGACAAAAGGGGGCCGCGTGGTTAAAAGGGGATAGTCTGCTAATCCATTGGGGCCGTCCCATCCGTGATTTTCCCAAATTTTTTAAAATTTTTTTTTACAAAAACATTCTTTTTTTATTCAACGAAAAATAGAAATTAAACATAAGACTTGCGGCAAGGGGCCCCCTGGTTGGGGGTGGTCTGCTAATCCCTTGGGCTCGAATCCCATCCTTTCGGTTTTTCCAGGTTTAAAATTTTTTTTTTATAATCTTTTTTTTCTTCAACGAATCAATAGAAATTAAACAAAAACTTGGTGACAAGGTGGCCATGGTTGGCATGGACGTAATCCATTTTTCTCTTCACGCGTGGGTTTGAATCCCAACCTTGTCGAGTTATTCTAAATGATTAAAATTTTTTTTTACACTTAATCATCCTTTTTTCATTCAACGTATGAAGAGAAATTAAACAAGGGAGCTGCGCGGAAGAGGTGGCTGAGCGGTTAAGGCGATGGACTGCTAATCCCTTCTACTCTGCCCACGTGGGTTCGAATCCCATCCTAGTCGAGTTATTCTAAATGTTTTAAATTTTATTTTACACTTAATCACCCTTTTTTCATTCAAACGTAGCGAATAGAAATTAAACAAGGGTTTGCGTAATGAGGTGGCTGAGTGCGGTTACATGACATGACCAATCCCTTCTACTCTGCCCACGTGGGTTCGAATCCCATCATTGTCCAGTTATTCCAAATGCTTTAAACTTTTATTTTACATATAATCTTTCTTTTTTTCATTCAACGAAGCAATAGAAATTAAACATAAAACCTGCGTAGACGAGGTGGCCGAGTGGTTAATGCGATGGACTGCTAATCCATCGGGCTCTGCCCGCGTGGGTTCGAATCCAATTCTTGTCGAGTTATTCTAAAGGCTTTAAATTTTTTTTTTCGCTTAATCATTCCTTTTTTGATTCAACGTATAAAAAGAAATTAAACATAAGACCTGCGGTGACGAGGTAAGGCCGGAGTGGTTAAGGCGTTTGGCTGCTAATCCATTTGGGCTCTGCCCGCGTGGGTTCGAATCCCATCCTTGTCGAGATATTCTAAATGTTTTAACTTATTGTTGTTTTTTCGCTTAATCATTCCTTTATCCAACGCATGAAAAGAAATTAAAATTATGCGAACCTGCGTAGATGAGGTAGGTGGCTGAGTGGTTAAGGCGATGGACTGTTAATCCATTAGCTCCCGCCCGCGTGGGTTCGAATCCCATCCTTGTCGAGTATTCCAAACAAGCCAAAACTTTTATTTTACATATAATCATTCTTTTTTTCATGCAACGAATCAATAGAAATTAAAACATAAGACCTGGGGAGGGACAGGTCGAGTGGTTAAGGCGATGGACTGTTAACCATTGGCTTGCCTGGCTTGAATCCTAACCTTTCGAGATATTCTAAATGTTTTAACTTGTTGTTTTTTCGCTTAATCATTCCTTTTTTGATTCAACGTATGAAAAGAAATTAAACATAAGACCTGCGTAGACGAGGTAGCCGAGTGGTTAAGGCGATGGACTGCTAATCCATTGGGCTCTGCCCGCGTGGGTTCGAATCCCATCCTCGTCGAGATATTCTAAATGTTTCACCACGTTTTTTCGCTTAATCATCTTTTGATTCAAACGTATGAAAAGAATAAACATAAGACCTGCGTAATGAGGTGGCCGAGTGGTTAAGGCGATGCACTGCTAATCCATTGGGCTCTGCCCGCGTGGGTTCGAATCCCATCCTTGTCGAGTTATTCCAAATGCTTTAAACTTTTTATTTTACATATATAATCATTCTTTTTCATGCAACGAATCAATAGAAATTAAAACATAAGACCTGCGAAATGAGGTGGCCGAGTGGTTAAGGCGATGACTGCTAATCCATTGCCTCAGTCTGCAAGCCCAATCCCATCCTTGTCGAGATATTCTAAATGTTTTAACTTATTGTTTTTTCGCTTTAATAATTCCTTTTTATTCAACGTAAGGAAAGTACTAAAACATAAGACCTGCGTAGACGATGTGGTCGAGTGGTTAAGGCGATGGACTGCTAATCCATTGGACTCTGCCTGCGTGGGTTCGAATCCCCTCCTTATCGAGTTGTTCTAAATGGGTTAAAAATCTTTTTAAGCTTAATCATTCCTTTTTTGATTCAACGTATGAATAGAAATTAAACAATGGCGCTGCACAGACGAGGTGGTGGCCGGGAGTATATAAGGCGATGGACTGCTAATCCATTAGGCTCTGCCCACGTGGGTCTGAATTCATCCTTGTCGAGTTATTATAAATGCCTTAATTATTATTTTTACACTTAATCATTCCTTTTTTGATTCAACAGATCCATAAAAATAAAACAAAGCACATTAGTAGATGAGGTGTCCGAGTGGCTAAGGCGATGAACTGTTAATCCATTGGGCGCTGCCCGCGTGGGTTAGAATCCCATACTTGTCGAGTTATTCTAAATGCTTTAAACTTTTTTTACACTTAATCTTTAATTTTTGATTCAACGGATCGATAAAAATAAAACAAAGAACCTTAGCAGATGAGGTGGCCGAGTGGTTAAGGCGATGGACTGCTAATCCGTTTGGCTCTGCCCGTGTAGGTTTGAATCCCATCCTCGTCGTGATATTCTAAATGCGTTTTTTTATTACACATAATCATTATTCTTTTAAGGGAACGGATCAAAAGTACTGAACGGACGAACGGTGTAGACAAGGTTACCGAATGGTTAAGGAAAACGACTGCTAGTCTATTGGGATCTGCGTGGGATCGAATTCCATTCTCGTTAGAATATTCTAAATGCGCTATACTATTACACAAATTCATTTTTCTTCTAAGGCAACGAATCTATAAATATTGAAAAAGAATTGCGTAGACGAGGTGGCCGAGTGTTTAAGGCGATGGACTGCTAATCCGTTGGGCTCTACCCGCGTGGGTTTGAATCCCATCCTCGTCGTGATATTCTAACTGCGTTTTGTTTATGACATATAATCATTAACCTTTTAAGGGAACAGATAAAAAATACTGAACTGGAAGAACGGTGTAGACGAGGTGGCCGAGTTGTGTGAATAATGATAAAGCCCCCGGAATCCATTGGCATCTGCCTGCGTGGATCGAACCTACCTTTTGTAATATCTCTAAATGCAGTTTAATACTATTAAACAAATTCTTTTTTTTTCTAAGGCGGCGGATCTATAAATATTGGAAAGAAGAATTGCGTATACGAAGTGGGCTGAGTGGTTACATAAGGAGGAACTGCTATTCCATTGGCTCTGCCCGCGTGGGTTCGAATCCCATCTTTGTCGAGTTACTCTGAATAGGTTAAAATTCTTTTTAAGCTTAATCATTCCTTTTTTGATTCAACGTATGAATAGAAATTAAACAATGGCGCTGCACAGACGAGGTGGCCGAGTGGTTAAGGCGATGGACTGCTAATCCATTTGATCTTCCCGCGTGGGTTTGAATCCCATCCTTGTCGAGTTATTCTGAATGATTTAAATTTTTTTTTTACACTTAATTATCCTTTTTTTCATTTAACGTATAAAGAGAAACAAAACGCCGGAGGTGCGCGAACGACGGTCGAGTGAGTTAACGATGACTGTTAAGCATCGGGCCTCTGCCCTTGCCCGCATTCCATTTTCGTCGAGTTATTCTAAATGCCTTAATTTTTTTTTTCACTTAATCATTCCTTTCTAAACGCATGAATGAAATAAAGGCAGCTGCGCAGACGAAGTGGCCGCGGTTAAGGCGATGGACTGTTAATCCATTGCCTCGCTCCACGTGGGATCGAATTCCATCCTTTGTCGAGTTATTCTGAAGGCTTTAAATTTTTCACTTAATCATTTTTATCAACGCGAATAGAAAATAAGTAAGAGCTGCGTAGACAAGGTGGCTGCGGGTTAAGCGATAAGTTAATCCATTGCCCAACTCATCCTTTTGCTCTGTTATTCCAATTGGTTTAAACTTTTATTTTACATATAATCATTCTTTTTTTCATTCAACGAATCAATAGAAATTAAACATAAGACTTGCGTAGACAAGGTGGCCGCGTGGTTAAGGCGATGGTCTGCTAATCCATTGGGCTCTGCCCGCGTTTGTTTGAATCCCATCCTCGTCGAGATATTCTAAATGTTTTAACTTATCGTTTTTTTTCCGCAATCATTCCTTTTTTATTCAAAATTTTTAAAAGGGGAAAATTTAAAAATAAGACCTTTCGTAGACGAGGGGGCCGAGTGGTTTAAAAAGATGGGCCGTAATTCCCTTTTTGGGGTCTGCCCCCGTGGGTTTTGAATTCCCCTCCCTTTTCCCAATTTTTCCAAATGTTTTAACTTATTGTTTTTTTTGTTTAAACATTCCCTTTTTTATTCAACTTTTGAAAAAAAATTAAACCAAAAACCCCCGCGTGGGGAAAGGGGAGCCGAGTGGTTAAAGGAAAAGGACTGCTAATCCATTGGGCCCCTGCCCGCGTGGGTTCGAATCCATCCTTGTCGAGTTTTTCCAAATGTTTTTAAATTTTTTTTTTTTTTTTAATCATTCCCTTTTTATTCAACGAAGAAAAGAAATTAAACATAAGACCTGCCCTGAGAGGGGGGCCGGGTGGTTAAAAAGGGGATAGAATTGCTAATCCCTTTGGGGTCTGCCCCCCGTTGGGGTTTAAGTCCCCTCCTTGTTGAGTTTTTCCAAATGTTTTTAAATTTGTTTTTTTTTTAATCTTTTTTTTTTTATTCAACGAAAAAAAGGGAAAATTTAAAAATAAGACCTGCGAAAACGGGGGGCCAGTGGTTAAGGCGATGGGCTGCTAATCCATTGGGGCTCTGCCCGCGTGGGGTTTGAATCCCATCCCTTTTCGAGATATTCTAAATGTTTTAACTTTTTTTTTTTTTTTTTCGCTTAATAATTCCTTTTTTTTATTCAACGTATGAAAAGAAAATTTAAAAATAAGCCCCCCCGTAGAAAGGGTGGCCGAGTGGTTAAAGGGGATGGACTGCCCCAATCCTTGGGCCCCTGCCCGCGTGGGTTCGAATCCCATCCTCGTCGAGATATTCCAAATGTTTTAAATTATTGTTTTTTTTTTCACTTAATCATTCCGTTTTTGATTCAACGTATGAAAAAAAAATTAAAACATAAGACCCCCGTAGAAGGGGGGGTTTAAGGCGATGGAATGCTAATCCCTTTGGGCCCCTGCCCCGTGGGGTTTTGAATCCCCATCATGTCGAGTTATTCCCAAAAGCTTTTAAAATTTTATTTTCATATAATCATTCTTTTTTTATTCAACGAATCAATAGAAATTAAACATAAGACCGGCGAAAACGAGGGGGGCCCCAGTGGTTAAAACGATGGACTGCTAATCCATTGGGCTCTGCCCGCGTGGGTTTTGAATCCCCTCCTTGTCAAAATTTTTCCAAATGTTTTAATTTTTTGTTTTTCCTTAATCATTCCTTTTTTATTCAGCAGTAAAAGAAATTAAACATAAAACCTGCGGGAAGGAATTACCCCAGGATTTAAGGGATGGCTGTTTAAACCATTTTTGGGGTCTGCCCGCCCTGGGGTTCGAATCCCATCCTTGTCAGATATTCCCAAATGTTTTTTAAATTATTGTTTTTTCCTTTAAATTTCCTTTTTTTATTTAACGTATGAAAAAATTAAACCCTAAACCTGCCAAAAAACGAGGGTTTTGGGCCCGGGGGGTTAAAAGGGGATGGACTGCTAATCCTTGGGGGTCTGCCCCGTGGGGTTTAATCCCATCCTTGTCAAATTTTTCCAAATTTTTCTTAAAATTTTTTTTACTTAATCATTCCTTTTTATTCAACGTAAAAGAAATTAAACATAAGACCTGCGTAGGGAGGTGGCCAATGGTTAAGGCGATGGGCTGCTAATCCCTTTGGGGTCTGCCCCGTTTGGGGTTTGAATCCCCTCCTTGTCGAGTTTTTCAAAAAAGGGTTTTAAAATTTTTTGTTTTTTTTTAATATTCCTTTTTTATTCAACGAAAAAAAGAAATTAAAACCCTAAGACCTGCTGAAAAGGGGCCAGTGGTTAAGGCGATGGGCTGCTAATCCATTGGGAAACCCCTGCCCCTTTGGGGTTCCCAATCCCCCTCCCCGTCGAGATTTTCTAAATGTTTTTTCTTATTTTTTTTTTTTGCTTAATCATTCCTTTTGATTCCGTATGAAAAAAAATTAAACATAAGCCCCGCGTAATTAGGGTGGGCCGAGTGGTTAAAAAGATGGACTGCTAATCCATTGGGCTCTGCCCGCGTGGGTTCGAATCCCATCCTGTCGAGGGTTTTTCCCAAAAGTTTTTAAATTTTTTTTTTCATTAATCATTCCTTTTTTTTTTCAACGAAAAAAAGAAATTAAACATAAGACCTGCGAGACAGGGTGGGAAAAAGGTTTTAAAAAAAATGGAATCTTAATCCATTGGGCTCTGCCGCGTGGGTTCGAATCCCATCCTTGTCGGGGGTTTTTCCAAAAAGTTTTTTTCCTTTTTTTTTCTTTAAACATTCCTTTTTATTCAACGAAAAAAGAAAATTTAAACCCTAAGACCTGCGAGACGAAAGGGGGGCCGAGTGGGTTGGGGGATGGACTTTCTAATCCATTGGGTCGCCCGCGTGGGTTCAATCCCCCTCCCTTGTCGAGATATTTTAAATGTTTTTTAAATTATTGTTTTTTGCAATAAATTTCCTTTTTTTATTCAACGTATGAAAAGAATTAAACATAAGACCTTCGTGAAAGGGTGGCCAATGGTTGGGGGATGGACCGCTAATTTTTGGGCTCTGCCCGGGGTGGTTTTGGGAAACCCCTCCTTGTCGAATTTTTCCAAATGTTTTAACTTTTTTGTTTTTTACCAATCATTCCTTTTTTTTATTCAACGTATGAAAAAAAATTTAAACCCCCCAAAACCTGCGTGGGCGAGGTGGGCCCAATTTTAAGGCGATGGACTGCTAATCCATTGGGCTCTGCCCGCGTGGGTTCCCAAACAAAACCTTGTCGAGTTATTCCCAAAAACATTAAACTTTTTTTTTTACATATAATCATTCTTTTCATTCCCAAAGAATCAATAAATTAAACATAAGACCTGCGTAGACGAGGTGGCCAGTGGTTAAGGCGATGGGGGTTTCTAATCCATTGGGCTCTGCCCGCCCTTTGTTTGAATCCCCTCCTCGTTGAGATATTCTAAAAAGTTTTAACTTATGTTTGTTTTTTTGGGTTAATCATTTTCCTTTTTTTTTTATTCAACGTATGAAAAAAAATTAAACATAAGACCTGCGTAGCAGGGGAAGGGGGGCCAGTGATTAAGGCGATGGGGGCGCCAAAACCCCTTGGGGCTCTCCCCCGTGGGTTTTGAATCCCATACTTGCCCAAAATATTCTAAAATTTTTTTAAATTTTTTGTTTTTTTTTTGCTTAATCATTCCTTTTTTTTTATTCAACGTATGAAAAAAAAATTAAACCAAAAACCCCGCGTAGAAAAAAAGGTTGGCCAGTGGTTAAAGGGGATGGGCTGCTAATCCTTGGGGTCTTCCCGCGTGGGTTGAATCCCATCCCCGTCGAGTTTTTCCCAAAAGTTTTTTGGAAATTTTTTTTTTTTCACTTAATCATTTTCCCTTTTGATTCAACGTATGAAAAATTAAACATAAGACCTGCCCTAGAGAAAGGGGGCCAGTGGTTAAAAAAGATGGAATGCTAATCCATTGGGCTCTGCCCCGTGGGTTCCCAATCCCATCCTTGTCGGGGTTTTTAAATTTTTAAAATTTTTTTTTTTTCATTAATCCCTTCCTTTTTATTCAACGAAAAAAAGAAATTAAACAAAAACCTGCGAACGAGGTGGCCGAGTGGTTAAGGCGATGGAATTTTCTAATCCTTTTGGGTCTGCCCCCGTGGGTTCGAATCCCATCCTTTGTCGAGTTTTTCCAAATGTTTTCTTTTTTTTTTCTTTAAAAATTCCTTTTTATTCAACGAAAAAAAGAAAATTTAAAAATAAGACCTGCGGGACGGGTGGCCCAGTGGGTTTAAAAAGATGGACTGTAATCCCTTTGGGGCCCCCCTTTGGGTTCGAATCCCCTCCCCTCAAGATATTCTAAATGTTTTAATTTTTTTGTTTTTTTAAATCATTCCTTTTTTTATTCAACGTATGAAAAAATTTAAAAATAAGACCTTGCAGAAAGAGGTGGGCCCGGGGGGTTTTAAAGGGGATGGAACTTTCTAATCCCTTTGGGCCCCCTGCCCCGTGGGGTTTGAATCCCATTCCCTTTTCGAGGTTATTCCAAATGCTTTAAATTTTTATTTTTCATATAATATTCTTTTCATTCAACGAATCCCAAAAGAAATTAAAACATAAGACCGGCGAAAACGGGTGGCCGAGTGGTTGGAGGGTGGACTGCTAATCCATTGGGGGTCTGCCGCGTGGGTTCGAATCCCATCCTTGTCAGGGTTTTTCAAATGTTTTAACTTATTGTTTTTTTTGCTTAATAAATTTCCTTTTTTTTATTCAACTTTTGAAAAGCCCAAAAAAACCTGCGTGAAAGAGGGGGCCAGTGGTTAAAGGGGATGGACTGCTTTTAAACCATTGGGGCCCCTGCCCGCGTGGGGGTTTGAATCCCCTCCTCGTCGAGATATTCTAAAAGTTTTAATTTTTTTTTTTTTTTCCCTTAATCATTCCTTTTTGATTCAACGTATGAAAAAAAATTAAACATAAGACCTGCGTAGACGAGGTGGGCCCAATGGTTAAAAGGGGATGGACTGCCCCAAAATTTTTGGGTCTGCCCCGTGGGGTTTAATCCCATCCTTGTCCAAAAGGGTTTTTCCCAAAAAAATTTTAAAATTTTTTTTTTACATATAATCATTCTTTTTCATTCAACGAAACAATAGAAATTAAACATAAGACCTGCGTAGACGGTTGGCCAGTGGTTGGGGGATGGAAATGTAATCCATTGGGCTCTGCCCCCGTTTGGGGTTTGAAACCCATCCTCGTCGAGATTTTCTAAATGTTTTTAAATTATTTTTTTTTTGCTTAATCATTCCTTTTTTTTATTCAACTATGAAAGGTTAAAACATAAACCTTTCGTAACGAGGGGCCAGTGGTTGGGGGATGGGCTGCTAAAACCCCTTGGGGTCTGCCCCGTGGGTTTGAATCCCATCCTTTTGAAAATTTTTCCAAATGGTTTTTCTTTTGTTTTTTCCTTAATCATTCCTTTTTTTTATTCAACGAAAAAAAGGGTTAAAAATAAGACCTTTCGAAAACGGGTGGCCCAATTGGGTTGGGCGATGGACTGCTAATTTCCAAATTTTGGGGTTTCTGCCCCCGTGGGTTCGAATCCCATCCCTTTTCGAGGTTTTTCAAATGTTTTTTCTTTTTTTTTTTTCCTTAATCATTCCCCTTTTTATTCCCAAAGAAAAAAGAAAATTTAAAAATAAGACCTGCGGGGAAAGGGGGCCGAGTGGTTAAAAGGGGGTGGGCTCAAAATCCATTGGGCTCTGCCCCGTGGGTTCGTCCCTCCGTCGAGGGTTTTTCCAAATTTTTAAAATTTTTTTTTTCCTTAATTATTCCCTTTTTATTCAACGTAAAAAAATTAAACATAAGACCTTTCGGGCAATTTGGGCCAGTGGTTTAAAAAAAATGGACCGCCCAATTTTTGTTGGGGTCTGCCCGCGTGGTTTTTTGAATTCCCCTCCTTGTCGAGGGTTTTTCCAAATGTTTCTTTTTTTTTTCCTTTAATCATTCCCTTTTTATTCAACGAAAAAAGAAATTAAACATAAGAAACCCGCGTGGGCGGGTGGGCCCGGGGGTTAAGGCGATGGACTCTAATCCATTGGGGTCTGCCCCCGTTTGGGGTTTGAATCCCATCCTTGTCGAGTTTTTCCAAATGTTTTTAAACTTTTTTTTTTTTTTTAATCATTCCTTTTTATTCAACGAAAAAAAGGGAAAATTTAAAAATAAGACCTGCGTAGACGGGGGGCCGAGTGGTTAAGGCGATGGGGGGCTTTTAAACCATTGGAAAAATCTGCCGCGTTTTTTGAATCCCCCTCCCCGTTGAGATATTCCAAAAAGTTTTAACTTTATTTTTTTTTGTTTAAACATTTTTTTTTTGGTTTAACGTATGAAAAGAAATTAAACATAAGCCCCGCGTAGAGGGGGCCGAGTATTAAGGGGATGGGCTGCTAATCCTTTGGGGCCTGCCCCGCGTGGGTTCGAATCCCATCCTCGTCAAGATATTCTAAATGTTTTAATTTTTTTTTTTTTTCGCTTAATCATTCCTTTTTTTATTCAACGTATGAAAAGAAATTAAACATAAGACCTGCGTAACAGGGGCCGAGTGGTTAAAAGGGGTGGGCTGCTAATCCATTGGGCTCTGCCCCCGTGGGTTCCGAAACCCATCCCCGTCCAGTTTCTAAAATTTTTAAATTTTGTTTTTACTTTTTTTGTTTTTTATTCAAAGTATGAAAAGAAATTAAACATAAGACCTGCGTAGACGATTTTGGGCCCAATGGTTTTAAAGGGGATGGAATGCTAATCCCTTTGGGGTCTGCCCCGTGGGTTCGAATCCCCTCCTTTGTCGAGGTTTTTCCCAAAAGCTTTAAACTTTTTATTTTACATATAATCATTCTTTTTTTCATGCAACGAATCAATGAAATTAAACATAAAACCTAAAAAAAGGGGGCCGAGTGGTTAAGGGATGGCCCGCTAATCCATTGGGCTCTGCCCCCGTGGAGTTGGAAACCCATCCTTGTCGAGATATTTTAAATGTTTTTTCTTATTGTTTTTTTTTCCCTTTAAAAATTCCTTTTTTTAATTTAACTTTTGAAAAAATTAAACATAAGACCTGCGTAGACGGGTGGCCGAATTGGGTTTAAAGGGGTGGACTGGCCCAATCCCTTTGGGGTCTGCCCCGTGGGTTCGAATCCCATCCTGTCGAGTTTTTCCAAAAAGTTTTAAAATTTTTTTTTTTTTATAAAAATTTTTTTTTATTCAACGATAAAAGAATTAAACATAAGACCTGCGAGACAATTTTGGGCCCAATGGTTAAGGCGATGGACTGCTTTTAAACCCTTTGGGCCCCTGCCCCGTGGGTTCGAATCCCATCCTTGTCGAGATTAATTCCCAAAAAGTTTTTTCTTTTGTTTTTTTAATCATTTTTTTTTTATTCAAAGAAAAAAGAAATTAAACATAAGACCTTTCGTAGACGGGGGCCGGGGGTTTAAGGGGGTGGGCGCTTAAACCCTTTTTGGGGCCCCCCGCGTGGGTTTTGAATTCCCCTCCCTTTTCGAGGTTATTCCCAAAAGTTTTTAAATTTTTTTTTTTCCTTAATCATTTTTTTTTTTATTCAACAAAAAAAGAAATTAAACATAAGACCTGCGGGGGGAGGGTGGCCGAGTGGTTAAGGGTGGACTGCTAATCCATTGGGCTCTGCCCGCGTGGGTTCCCAATCCCCCTCCTTTTCGAGTTTTTCCAAATTTTTAAATTTTTTTTTGTTAATAAATTCCTTTTTTATTCAACGAAAAAAAGAAATTTTAAAAATAAGACCTGCCCTAGACGAGGTGGGCCAGTGGTTAAGGGATGGGCTGCTAATCCATTGGGCTCTGCCCGCGTTTATTTAGGCCATCCTCGTTGAGATATTCCCAAATGTTTTAACTTTGTTTTTTTTTTCCTTAATCATTTTCCTTTTTTTATTTAACGTATGAAAAGTTAAACATAAGGAAACCCGCGTAGACCGGGGGGGCCCAGTGGTTAAGGCGATGGCTGCCCAATCCATTTGGGGTCTGCCCCCGTGGGTTCCGTCCCCTCCTTTTCGAGTTTTTCCAAATTTTTAAAATTTTTTTTTTTTAAAATCATTCCTTTTTTATTCAACGAAAAAAAGAAATTAAACATAAACCCCGCGTGAAGGGGTGGCCAGTGGTTAAAAAAAGGGGATGGACCCCTAATCATGGGTTTTGCCCGCGTTTGGGGTTTAATCCCATCCTTGTCGAGTTTTTCCAAATGTTTTTAAAAATTTTTTTTCTTTTCAATCATTTCCTTTTTTATTCAACGGCAAAAATTAAACCAAAAACCTGCAGGTAAGGGGCGGAGTGGTTAAGGCGATGGGCTGTAATCCATTGGGCTCTGCCCGCGTGGGTTTTTTGAATCCCATCTTGTCGGATATTCTAAATGTTTTTAAATTTTTTTTTTTTTCGCTTAAAACATTTTTTTTTTTGATTCAACGTATGAAAAGAAATTAAACATAAGCCCTGCGTAGACGAGGTGGCCGAGTGGTTAAGGCGATGGACTGCTAATCCATTGGGCTCTGCCCGCGTGGGTTCGAATCCCATCCTTGTCGTGAGATATTCTAAATGTTTTAACATCGCGTTTTTTCGCTTAATCATTCCTTTTTGATCTCAACGTATGAAAATAATAGTACCAAACATTAGCACTGCATAGATGAGGTGGCCGAGTGGTTAAAGCGATGGACTGCTAATCCATTGGGCTCTGCCCGCGTGGGTTCGAATCCCATCCTCGTCGAGATTTTCTAAATGATTTAACTTTTTTTTTTTCGCTTAATCATTCCTTTTTTGATTCAACATATGAAAAGAATACCAAAACATAAGACCTGGGTGTAGACGAGGTGGCCGAGTGCGGTTAAGGCGATGGACTGCTAATCCATTGGGCCTCCCTGCCCAAGTGTAGTTCGAATCCCATCCTCGTCGAGATATTCTAAATGATTTAACTTATTTTCGCTTAATCATTCCTTTTTTGATTCAACGTATGAAAGAAATTAAACATAACACCTTTCGCGTACGAGGTAGCCGAGTGGTTAAGGCGATGGATCTCCGTTAATCCATTGGGTCGTCTGCGTGGGTTCGAATCCCATCCTTGTCGAGTTATTCCAAAATGCTTTAAACTTTTATTTTACATATAATCATTCTTATTCAACGAATCAATAGAAATTAAACATGCGCAAGACCTGCGAAGACGAGGTGTTGAGTGGTTAAGGCGATGGACTGCTAATCCATTGCCTGCCCGCGTGGGTTCGAATCCCATCCTTTGTCGAGTTATTCAAATGCTTTTAAACTCTTATTTTACATATAATCATTCTTTTCTTCATTCAACGAATCAATAGAAATTAAACATAACACCTGCGTAGACGAGGTGGCCGAGTGGTTAAGGCGATGGACTGCTAATCCATTGGGCTCTGCCCGCGTGGGTTTGAATCCCATCCTTGTCGAGTTATTCCAAATGCTTTAAACTTTTATTTTACATATAATCATTCCTTTTTTGATTCAACGTATGAAAAGCAATTAAACATAAGACCTGTGTAGACGAGGTGGCCGGAGTGTTAAGGTAAAGGACTGCTAATCCATTACCGCCCGCGTGGGAAGTCAGAATCCCATCCTCGTCGAGATATTCTAAATGTTTTAACTTATCGTTTTTTTTTTTTTTTTCGCTTAATCATTCCTTTTTTGATTCAACGTATGAAAAGAAATTAAACATAAGACTTGCGTAGAAAAGGTGGCCGAGTGGTTAAGGCAATGGACTGCTAAGCTAACCTTTGGGCCTCCCGCCCGCGTGGGGTTCTCGAATGTCATCCTCGCCGAGATATGCCCTAAATGTTTTAACTTCTATGGCTTTTCGCTTAATCATTCCTTTTGATTTTAACGTGAAAGTTAGAAATTAAACATAAGACCCGGTGCAGACAAGGTGGCCGAGTGGTTAAGGTGATGGACTGTTAATCCATTTGCCTCTGCCGCGTGGGTTCGAATCCTATCCTATCGAGTTATTCCAAATGCTTTTAAACTTTATTTTACATATAATCATTTTTATGCAAATGAATCAATAGGCCAAATGAGGCACCGGCGAAGACGAGGTGACCGAGTGGTTAAGGCGATGGACTGCTAATCCATTGTGCTCTGCCCGCGTGGGTTCGAATCCCATCCTCGTCGAGATATTCTAAATGATTTAACTTATTTCGCTTAATCATTCCTTTTTGATTCAAGCAACGTATGAAAAAGAAATTAAAACATAAGCACCTGCGGTGACGAGGTGCGTGCGGCCGAGTGGTTAAGGCGATGGACTGCTAATCCACTGGGCTCTGCCTGCGTGGGTTTGAATCCCATCCTACCGAGTTATTCTAAACGTTTTAACTTATGGGTTTTTTCGCCAATCATTCCTTTTTGATTTTAACGTATGAAAAGAAATTAAACATAAGACCTGCGTAGACAAGGTGGCCGAGTGGTTAAGGCGATGGACTGCTAATCCTTTGGGCTCTGCCCGCGTGGGTTCGAATGCCATCCTCGTCGAGATATTCTAAATGTTTTAACTTATGGGTTTTTTTTTCGCTTAATCATTCCTTTTTTGATTTAACGTATGAAAAGAAATTAAACATAAGACCTGCGTAGACAAGGTGGCCGAGTGGTTAAGGTGATGGACTGCTAATCCATTGGGCTCTGCCCGCGTGGGTTCGAATCCCATCCTGTCGAGTTATTCCAAATGCTAAACTTTGATTTTATATATAATCATTCTTTCATTCAACGAATCAATAGAAATTAAACATAAGACCTGCGTAGACGAGGTGGTCGAGTGGTTAAGGCGATGGACTGCTAATCCATTGGGCTCTGCCCGCGTGGGTTCGAATCCCATCCTCGTCGAGATATTCTAAATATTTTAACATCGTTTTTTTTTTCGCTTAATCATTCCTTTTTTGATTCAACGTATGAAAAGAAATTAAACATTAGCACTGCATAGATGAGGTGGCCGAGTGGTTAAAGCGATGGACTGCTAATCCATTGGGCTCTGCCCGCGTGGGTTCGAATCCCATCCTCGTCGAGATTTTCTAAAACATTTTAATCTGATATTTTTTTTCGCTTAATCAATTCCTTTTTGATTCAACGTATGAAAAGTTAAGAAATTCAAACATAAGACCTGCGTAGACGAGGTGGCCGAGTGGTTAAGGCGATGGACTGCTAACCGGCCAGCCTCCGCGTGGGTTCGAATCCCATCCTCGTCGAGATATTCTAAATGTTTTAACTTATCGTTTTTTCGCTTAATCATTCCTTTTTTGATTCAACGTATGAAAAGAAATTAAACATAAGACTTGCGTAGAAAAGGTGGCCGAGTGGTTAAGGCAATGGACTGCTAATCCTTTGGGCTCTGCCCGCGTGGGTTCGAATGCCATCCTCGTCGAGATATTCCAAATGTTTTAACTTATTGGTTTTTTTTTTTCACTTAATCATTCCGTTTTTGATTCAACGTATGAAAAGAAATTAAACATAAGACCTGCGTAGACGAGGTGGCCGAATTGTTAAGGCGATGGACTGCTAATCATTTAGGCTCTGCCCTCGTGGGTTCGAATCCCATCCTTGTCGAGTTATTCCAAATGCTTTAAACTTTTTATTTTCACATACTATTTTTTTATGCAACGAATCAATAGAAATTAAACATAAGACCGGCTAGCAATTTGAGGACTGAGTGGTTAAGGCGATGGACTGCTAATCCATTGTGCTCTGCCCGCGCGGGTTCGAATCCCATCCTTGTCGAGATATTCTAAATGTTTTAACTTATTGTTTTTTTTCGCTTAGCTGCCCTTTTGATTCAACGTATGAAAAGAAATTAAACATAAGACCTGCGTAGACGAGGTGGCCGAGTGGTTAAGGCGATGGACTGCTAATCCATTGGGCTCTGCCCGCGTGGGTTCGAATCCCATCCTTGTCGAGTTATTCCAAATGCTTTAAACTTTTATTTTACATATAATCATTCTTTTTTTCATTCAACGAATCAATAGAAATTAAACATAAGACCTGCGTAGACGAGGCCGAGTGGTTAAGGCGATGGACTGCTAATCCATTGCTCTGCCCGCGTGGGTTCGAATCCCCATTATCGTCGAGATATTCTAAAATGATTAAATCTTATTGTTTTTTCGCGAATCATTCCTTTTTGATGCAACGTATGAAAAGAAATTAAACATAAGACCTGCGCAGACGAGGTGGCCGAGTGGTTAAGGCGATGGACTGCTAATCCATTGCCCTGCCTGCGTGGGTTCGAATCCATCCTCGTCGAGATATTCTAAAGTCATTTCAACTGGCTTTTTCGCTTAATCATTCCTTTTTTGATTCAACGTATGAAGCAAATAAAACATAAGACCTGTGTAGACGAGGTGGCCGGAGTGGTTAAGGCGATGGACTGTTAATCCATTGGGTCGTACTTAAACCCATCCTCTTCGTCGAGATATTCTAAAATGTTTTAACTTATCGTTTTTTCGCTTAATCATTTCTTTTTTGATTCAACGTATGAAAAGAAATTAAAACATGCAGTTATCTTGCGTAGACAAGGTGGCCGGAGTGGTTAAGGCGGTGGACTGCTAATTCATTGTGCTCTGCCCGCGGGTTCAACTCAATTTGTCGAGTTATTCCAAATGCTTTAAACTTTTATTTTACATATAATCATTCTTTTTTTCATTCAACGAATCAATAGAAATTAAACATAAGACCTGCGTAGACGAGGTGGCCGAGTGGTTAAGGCGATGGACTGCTAATCCATTGGGCTCTGCCCGCGTGGGTTCGAATCCATCCTCGTCGAGATTTTCTAAATGTTTTAACTTTTTTTTCGATTAACTTACCTTTTTGATTCAACATATGAAAAGAAATTAAACATAAGACCTGCGCAGACGAGTGGCCGAGGCACAAAGCGATGGATCATAATCCATTGGGCCTCTGCCTGCGTGGGTTTGAATCCCATCTTTGTCGAAAGGCCCCAAATGCTTTAAACTTTTATTTGCTATGTCATTCTTTTCTATGCAAACGAATCAATAGAAATTAAACATAAGACCTGCGAAGACGAGGTGGCCGAGTGGTTAAGGCGATGGACGGTTAACTACTAGCTCTTCTGCCCAAGTGTGGGTTCGAATCCCTTCCTTGTCGAGATATTCTGCCCGTTTCTAAACTACGTTTTTTTTCGCTTAATCATTCCTTTTTTGATTCAACGTATGAAAAGCAATTAAACATAAGACCTGCGTAGACGAGGTGGCCGAGTGGTTAAGGCGATGGACTGCTAATCCATTGGGCTCTGCCCGCGTGGTTCGAATCCCATCCTCGTCGAGATATTCTAAATGTTTTAACTTATTGTTTTTTTCGCTTAATCATTCCTTTTTTGATTCAACGTATGAAAAGAAATTAAACACAGACTGCGGACGAGGCCGAGTGGTTAAGGCGGTGGACTGCTAATTCATTGTGCTCGCCCGCGTGGTTCATGGAATCCCATACTTCACGAGTTATTCCAAATGTGCTTTTAAACTCTTATTTTACATATAACTCATTCTTTTCTTCATTCAACGAATCAATAGAAATTAAACATAAGCACTGCGAATAGGTGCCGGAGTGGTTAAGGCGATGGATCGCTAATCCATTGGGCTCTGCCCGCGTGGGTTCGAATCCCTTGTCGAGTTATTCCAAATGCTATAGACTTTTATTTTACATATAATCATTCTTTTTTTTCATTCAACGTGGAAGGAAAAGAAATGTACCTATGCGCACTGCGTAGACGAGGTGGGCTTAGAGGAAGCAAAAATGATGGACTGTTAATCCATACGCCTCTGCCTGGTTTCAAACCCATCCTTTGCCTATATATTCTAAATGTTTTAATTTATTGTTTTTTTTCGCTTAATCATTCCTTTTTTGATTCAACGTATGAAAAGAAATTAAACATAAGACCTGCGTAGACGAGGTGGCCGAGTGGTTAAGGCGATGGACTTCAACCGGCCAAGCTCTGCCCGCGGGTTCGTATCATCCCTCCTGTCGAGTTATTCCAAATGCTTTAAACTCTTATTTTACATATAATCATTCTTTCTTCATTCAACGAATCAATAGAAATTAAACATAACACTCCGGGTGCAGATTTGAGGCCTTGAGTGGTTAAGGCGATGGATCATAATCCATAGGGCTCTGCCCGCGGCTCTGAATCCCATCCTCGTCGAGATATTCTAAATGATTTAACTTATTTTTTTTTCGCTTAATCATTCCTTTTGATTCAACATATGAAAAGAAATTAAACATAAGACCTGCGTAGACGAGGTGGCCGAGTGGTTAAGGCGATGGACTGCTAATCCATTGGGCTCTGCCCGCGTGGGTTCGAATCCCATCCTCGTCGAGATATTCCTAAATGTTTAACTATTGTTTTCGCTTAATCATTCCTTTTTGATTCAATGTAAAAATAAAACCGCGACCTGCGTAGACGAGGTGGAAGAGTGGTTAAGGCGATGGACTACTAACCATTGACTTCCTGACCGCGGGTTCGAATCCCATCCTCGTCGAGCTTTTCTAAATGTTTTTAACTTTTTTTTTCGATTAATCATTTTTGATCCAAATATATGAAAAGAAATTAAACATAAGACCTGCGTAGACGAGGTGGCCGAGCGGTTAAAGCGATGGACTGCTAATCCATTGCCTTCCTGCCCGCGTGGGTCTCGAATCCCATCTTTGTTTTGAGCATTCCAAATGCTTTCAAACTTTTTTATTTCATATATAAACACTTTTTTCTATGCAACGAATCAATAGAAATTAAACATAAGACTAAGGAAGACGAGGTGGCCGAGTGGTTAAGGCGATGGACTGTTAATCCATTGGCCTCTGCCTGCGGGTTCGAATCCCTTCCTTTGTCGAGTATTATCGCAAATGTTTTAACTTATTGTTTTTTTTTCGCTTAATCTCGCCTTTTTGATTCAACGTATGAAAAGTAATTAAACATAAGACCTGTGTGTATTTGAGGTGCTCGAGTGGTTAAGGCGATGGACTGCTAATCCATTGGCTCTGCCCGCGTGGGTTCGAATCCCATCCTCGTCGAGATATTCTAAATGTTTTAACTTATTGTTTTTTTTCGCTTAATCATTCTTTGATTCAAACGTACATGAAAGAAATTACCATAAGACTCTGCGTACTATGTGGCTGAGTGGTTAAGGCGGTGGACTGCTAATTCATTGTGTCGCCCGCGTGGGTCTTTTGAATCCCATACTTGTCGAGTTATTCCAAATGCTTTAAACTCTTATTTTACATATAATCATTCTTTCTTCATTCAACGAATAACAGAAATTAAAACATAAGACCTGCGTGCACGCTTGAGCGTTTAAGGCGACACTAATCCATTGCTCTGCCCGCGTGGGTTCGAATCCCTCCTCCTTGTCGAGTTATTCCAATGCTATGGGAGTTCTTTATTTTTAGTTATTAATTGGCCTTTTTTTCATTCAACGTATGAAAAGAAATTAAACATATGACTTGCGTAGACGAGGTGGCCGAGTGGTTAAAACGATGGACTGCTAATCCATTGGGCTCCCCGCCCGCGTGGGTTCGTATCCCTCCTTGCTCGAGTTATTCCAAATGCTTTAAACTTTTATTTTACATATAATCATTCTTTTTTTCATGCAACGAATCAATAGAAATTAAACATAAGACCTGCGAAGACGAGGTGGCCGAGTGGTTAAGGCGATGGACTGCTAATCCATTGGGCTCTGCCCGCGTGGGTTCGAATCCCATCCTTGTCGAGATATTCTAAATGTTTTAACTTATTGTTTTTTTTTTCGCTTAATCATTCCTTTTTTGATTCAACGTATGAAAAGCAATTAAACATAAGACCTGCGTGATTTCCAGGTGGCTACAGCGGTTAAGGCGATGGACTGCTAATCCATTGGGCTCTGCCGCGCGGGTTCGAATCCCATCCTCGTCGAGATATTCTAAAATGTTTTTAACTTATTGTTTTTCGCTTAATCATTCCTTTTTGATTCAACGCGGGCGAAGCAAATTTCAAAACACATGTTAACTGTGTAGACGAGGTGGTCGAGCGGTTAAGGCGATGGACTGCTGATCCTTTGGGCTCTGCCCGCGTGGGTTCGAATCCCATCCTTGTCGAGTTATTTCGAATGTTTTAACCTATTGTTTTTTTTTTCGCTTAATCATTCCTTTTTTGATTCAACGTATGAAAAGAAATTAAACATGTAAGACCTGCGTGACGTGGCCGAGTGGTTGTTTGATGGACTGGCTAATCCATTGCCCTGCCCGCGTTCCTGAATCCCCATCCTCTACGGAGTTATTTCCAAATGCATTAAACTTTTATTTTACATATAATCATTTTTTTTTTCATTCAACGAATCAATAGAAATTAAACATAAGACCTGCGTAGACGAGGTGGCCGAGTGGTTAAGGCGATAGACTGCTAATCCATTGGGCTCTGCCCGCGTTTGTTCGAATCCCATCCTCGTCGAGATATTCTAAATGTTTTAATTTATTGTTTTTTTTCGCTTAATCATTCCTTTTTTGATTCAACGTATGAAAAGAAATTAAACATAAGACCTGCGTAGACGAGGTGGCCGAGTGGTTAAGGCGATGGACTGCTAATCCATTAGCCTGCCCAAGTGGGTTCGAATCCTGGTCCTTGTCGAGTATTCAAAATACTTCTGTAAACTTTTTATTTTGCGCACCTGGTCTTTTTTTCATGCAACGAATCAATAAATTAAAACATAAGACCTGCGAAGACTTGAGGTAGCCGGAGTGGTTGGCGCGATGGACTAACCATTGGGCTCTTCCGTGGGCTCAAATCCTTATACTCTGTCGAGATAATTTAAATGCTTTTCACTTTGGTTGCTTTCGCTTAATCATTCCTTTTTTGATTCAACGTATGAAAAGAAATTAAACATAAGACCTGCGTAGACGAGGTGGCCGAGTGGTTAAGGCGATGGACTGCTAATCCATTGGGCTCTGCCCGCGTGCGGGTTCAACCCTTATCCTGCCGAGTTATTCCAAATGCTTTAAACTTTTATTTTACATATAATCATTTTTTTTATGCAACGAATCAATAGAAATTAAACATAAGACCTGCGAAGACGAGGTGGCCGAGTGGTTAAGGCGATGGACTGCTAGTCCATTGGGTTTCTTGCCTTACGTGGGTTCGAACTCATCCTCGCCGAGAGTTCTAAATGTTTTAATCCTTATTGTTTTCTTTTCGCTTTAATCATTCCGTTTTTGATTCAACGTATGAAAAGAAATTAAACATAAGACCTGCGTAGACGAGGTGGCCGAGTGGGTTAAGCAGCGATTGATCGCTAATCCATTGGCTCTGCCCGCGTGGGTTCGAATCCCATCCTTGTCGAGTTATTCCAAATGCTTTTAAACTTTTTATTTTACATATAATCATTCTTTTTTTTCATTCAACGAATCAATAGAAATTAAACATGGCGATCCTCGTAGACGAGGTACGAGTGCTGGGCGGGGCGATACCGCTAATCCATTGGCTCTGCCTGCGGGTTCGAATCCTCCCTCGTCGAGATATTCTAAATGCCTTTAAACTTTTATTTTACATATAATCATTCTTTTTTTTCTCTTATTCAACGGAACTCAAATAGAAATTAAAACATAAGACCTGCGTAGACCAGGTGGCCGAGTGGTTAAGGCGATGGACTGCTAATCCATTGGTGGCTCTGCCCGCGGGTTCGAATCCCATACTTGTCGAGATATTCTAAATGTTTTAAACTCTATTGTTTTTCGCTTAATCATTCTCTTTTGATTCAATGTATGAAAAGAAATTAAACATAAGCCCTGCGTAGACGAGGTGGCCGGAGTGGTTAAGGCGATAGATCACACCATTGGTCTCTGCCCGCGTGGGTTCGAATCCCATCCTTAATGAGTTATTATTCCAAATGCTTTAAACTTCTTTTTTTCATTTAATCATTCTTTTTTTCATGCAACGAATCAATAGAAATTAAACATAAGACCTGCGAAGACGAGGTTGCCGAGTGCTTAAGGCGATAATTTAATCCATTAAGCTCCGTCTTCGCGTGGGCGAATCCCATCCTTGTCGAGATATTCTAAATGTTTAATCTCTATTGTTTTTAGCTTAATCTCATTCCTTTTTTGATTCAACGTATGAAAAGCTATTAAACATAAGACCGGCGTAGACGAGGAGGCCGAGTGGTTAAGGCGATGGACTACTAATCCATTGACTCGCTCCGTGTTTGAAATCCTTAGTCTCGTCGAGATTTTCTAAATGATTTAACTTATTTTTTTTTTCGCTTAATCATTCCTTTTTTGATTCAACATATGAAAAGAAATTAAACATAAGACCTGCGTAGACGAGGTGGCCGAGTGGTTAAGGCGATGGACTGCTAATCCATTGGGCTCTGCCCGCGTGGGTTCGAATCCCATCCTTGTCGAGTTATTCCAAATGCTTTAAACTTTTATTTTACATATAACTTATGCAAATCGAATCAATAGAAATTAAACATAAGACCGGCGAAGACGAGGCAGCAATTGAGTATAAGGCGATGGACTGCTAATCCATTGGGCTCTGCCCGCGTGGGTTCGAATCCCATCCTTGTCGAGATATTCTAAATGTTTTAACTTATTGTTTTTTTTTTTCGCTTAATCATTCCTTTTTTGATTCAACGTATGAAAAGCAATTAAACATAAGACCTGCGTAGACGAGGTGGCCGAGTGGTTAAGGCGATGGACTGCTAATTCATTGTGCTCTGCCCGCGTGGTTTCGAATCCCATACTTGTCGAGTTATTCCAAATGCTTTAAACTTTTATTTTACATATAATCATTCTTTTTTTCATGCAACGAATCAATAGAAATTAAACATAAGACCTGCGAAGACGAGGTGGCCGAGTGGTTAAGGCGATGGACTGCTAATCCATTGGGCTCTGCCCGCGTGGGTTCGAACTCATCCCCGTCGTATATATTCCTAAATGTTTTAACTTATCGTTTTTTTCGCTTAATCATTCCTTTTTTGATTCAACGTATGAAAAGAAATTAAACATAAGACTTGCGTAGACGAGGTGGCCGAGTGGTTTAGGCGGTGGACTGCTAATTCATTGTGCTATGCCCTCGTGGGTTCGAATCCCATACTTGTCGAGTTATTCCAAATGATTTAAACTTTTATTTTACATATAATCATTCTTTTTTTCATTCAACGAATCAATAGAAATTAAACATAAGACCTGCGTAGACGAGGTGGCCGAGTGGTTAAGGCGATGGACTGCTAATCCATTGGCTCTGCCCGCGTGTCTTCGGAACTTCATCCTCG